ACTATCATTACTTTTTGAGGTAGCTGCAGAAAATCATTTGGTGAAATTTTATGGTCTCAGTTAAGCAAGAGATCAAACAGAGTGATCATATTCTGTTCAGGCTTCAAAATACATGAAACAGGAGAGTAGGTGTGATTCTACAATAATCATAGCAGTTGAAGTTGTGACCTCACTGAAGTCTATGAGAAAGTCCCCATTCCCTATAATGAGACAAAGATTTAATCTACAGTTGTAAAAATCTTTGATATATTCACCACATTTACGCTTAGGGCTATATGCAGATTGTTTTGCTTCACTTCACCCATTTTATTTCATTGCTATTATGTTCAACATTTTATTTTGTATTTCAGCTTAGTTTTGAATTAACCTTGCATCACTTACATTATTTAAGCATCTAAGAGTTTGCAGATATTATCTCTATTTCTATACTGTAGAGTTCAAAATGGCAGTAAGAAAACACACTCGCAAAAAATTCTGTTTCTTCTAGGTTTTAGTTGGGTCAGGGTGAATCTTTCACTGATTACCATTTTTTACAGGAGCTGGGCATTTCTGCTGCTTGTCTTTGATGGAATTGGAAAAAAGGAGATCCAAGCGAATAAACTTTCTGGACTCTTCTGAACCTTATGAACAGCTGAGTTAAGGTCAAAATTCCCGGAAAGCCTCAGACTGATGCTGACTTTGAATGGAGTCAGCAGCTGGTACGGCGAATACGTGATATTCTTGAAAATACCCTCCCTACTGTAGTTCTTCAGATTGTTCTGGCCTGAAAGAGAACTATCAGCCATCCTTGACTATGGCATCCTGAGCATATGTGCATGGGCTACTGCCAGTTGTCCTGAAAGTATATGTGTGGGCTTGGGAAAGTGGAGCCCTGTGGAAGTCGCTCTGGTCTAATCCTACTCAGGAACAGATGCTTAATGGTTCGCCTTCACGTTAAACACCATAACTGTAGAAAGACAGGTCTCAGGTGAGACTGGAACTTGGTTTTCTATGTCCCAAGATGAGAGTACATTTTGATTGCTTCTCTGGGAAAAGAATACTTTGTTGTGAACAGGACGGAGTGTGTTGAAGAATACTGCCTGGTAGAATGGGTTTCAGTCAAGAGAATGCATGATTTCAGAAGGGATTTTCATAAGGGAACTATTTATAAAGGGATCTCTTGCTTACTCTGTGTATCTGGAAAATTTAAACTAAGAATCTGGACTCAGGAGAGGAAAAATATTTTAATAGGAGAAAGTGACTTCAAAAACATTCTGATGTTACAACTGTGAAAGAGATTTGATTGGATTCACCACCAGACACATTGCCATTGCTTTGAAATTGCTTTCATTTAAGCTTCATGAAATGCTCAGGGTAGTACTCCTGTAGAAACCGTTGGGCTAGAGGATATCGGAAGCTGTGATGCATAACCCATTCCTAGAAATGACTTTAAAGAAGGTATGAAAAACTGGAGATTTGTGAGATCGTACAGGAATATTTAAGTAAGGAAGCTGAGAGGACTACATCTAAATGTGTTGACTTCCAGCTTTGTTCTACTGAAAATTAAAGCACATCACATTTTTATTTTTGTAACATGCTGATATGGCTTTTATGCAATGGACCAGAAACAAAAATTGCAAAGGAAGGTAGAACAAGATAGCCTGTGATCCAGATTCCATCCTTATTTTACTGTGGGGACTTGTACAGAAGCAGGAGGTATGAGTCTTGCACTAGAGTATGCAACTGTCACGGTTCTTTAAGGACATAATTTGAATAGAAGTCCTTCCATCCACTTCAATGGATTTTAGATCAGAATCTCTTCTAGGGAGATTTTTATCCTTGGCTTTCTTAAAAGAATATTTTATTGATATGGGAATAGCTTTAATCACCCATGAAAACTTGGTAAAGAGTGCTCTCTTTTTTATGATATGGAAAATACCCTGCTGAAGCATCAAACCTTTTAATGAAGTCAAACCAAATAAAACTTGCCCTACATGACCTCAAGCTCAGCTCTTGAAATGTCATTTTCTAGGATAATGCATTCCCCATCTGTCAGGCTGGGCTTTTTTTTGTCCACAGGTGAACTTATGCAGCCTTGGAGGTGTGCCATGGTTACTAGTATTTGGTATTTTAGAAGAGGTGAGATAGGAGTTCTTACTAGCAAATTTTTGCCCCCCTCACTGAAACAACAGAAAATAAGCAGATCCTTGTCTCTGAATTTATGTCACTTTGTTCTCCTGAAGCCTAAAGCAACTGAATAGCCTTAATCTTACCCTTGAGAAACAGCTGACATCACAAATGGGAGCTTGTTATTTAACGCAGAACTAATTATTGATTTGCCTGCAGTCACTGAATGAAAAAATCCGAACTACAAAACCCTTCTGACAAAGTCTTTGCTACTACCTTTAGTCGTGACTATCTTGGTGTGTTAGGAATAGAGATATAATTCTAATGAAAATAATTCACACTAAATATTTGTTCTTGTGCTTATGTTGTTATACTGAGAATAAGTTAGATATTTTTATATATTTTATATATTTATTTCAAAGCTGGACTCAAGTTCTGATTGATTGGACAGTAATGCTGACTTTATGCAGGTAGTCAATTGTCTCCTGTCCTACAACATTGGATGAGGTCTCATAGAGTCCCATAATGAATCTTTTACTGCATTCATATAGATGTGAAACACCTGAGAATCATGATAAAACTCAGGTTCACATAGTTCATATGGTAGCAATTTATTGCCTGACTGCAGGTTTTTTAAATCTCTCTGGCACTACAGGGTTATTACAGTATGTTAGAGAGACAGGTATTCTAAGTATAAACTTGCTGTTAAAATCTCAGAAATACTAACTGAGTGCTCTTGAACTGAAGCTCTGATGAGAATTAAATCCTTCCTGTGACATTTTTATGCCACATGGAGATGTGGAAGTGTGAGTAACAGCACCTGGCAAGCAAGCTGGCTTACTTAAAAGCAAGCAAACCAGATGCTCATCAGGTTGGAGAAGGATTCAGCAAAATGTTCATTGCTCAGATCTGCAAGAGAAAACTCATACTTTATGACCTGACCTCTGGATACTGAGGAAAACTATAATTCTAACATATCATCTGTATCTTCAAACATCATGAAGGGTTTACATTTGAAAGCAGGACTCATTTTCAAGTGAAAAATCTACATAACATATCCACCCCTATTCCTATCAGCTCTCTCATTTACAAAACACTACCAGATAAGTAACAAAATCAACCTCCTTCTGGATGATAAATAAGATTTCATAGAAACCTTCTTTTTCCAGGGAACAGTAATAGCAGAACTTTTGACTTTTTCTTTCTATGGGTCCCTACTTTCCCCGTCCTCGTGTGTGTGTCAGACAGACCCTCTAGTTTAATAAGCCCCAAATACATCTGCTTTCTGACTACAGAAACTAGCTGTGTTCCAAGCACACTGACTAGACTAAGCAATTTTTACCCTACCTGAGCAACACCAACCAAAATTTCTGGCTTTTCAAAGCCCTAGATAGCTAGCTGTCTCATACAACACTGGGAAAAAAAAAGTCTGGCACTGAGCGTTGGTGAGTTGATTTAAGACTGGCATCACTGCAAATACCACTGCCTTGGTATTTTCCAACTGGGCAAAGTATTTGATCTGATCCCTTCAGCAAACCATTTATTCAGTTTAACAGCTGTCTAAATTAGCCACTACGAGTCCATAGGAAACATGCCACACCTCCCAAAATTGAAGCATTTAACAGCAGAAGGGAAACCTAAATACAAGTCTTGTTTAGTTTCCATTTAGCAGTGAGAGAAATAAATCCAAATACTGCATACAAGACATGCATAGATCAAAGTAAAACACCCCCCACCCCCAAGCCTGCAAAGTATTTGTATGATTCACCTATATATTTTTCAGAATACCTAACATTTTGCAAATTTTGTAATTTCACAACAATTCTACTTGAAGGTTTCCAATATGATTCTGAGTACTGAAATCCTCAGTTGAATGACACTGTAATCCACTGACAAGGTTTCCTTTTGGTGCCTTGAAAAAATAACTGTCAGGCACCTATTTTAATCTCTAGGTGGATAATACTGTGACAGATATTATCCTTCACCTTTTGGCTTGGTTCCCAAGGAGACTTCCACGTTTTATATTTCATTTGTTATTGGTTTTGGTTTGCTTCTTATGATCTATCAAACCCAGATTAATCCATCCTAATCCAGATCAATCTACCTGTCCCTCCTGCCAACAAAACTGTTCTCAAACCCTGCTGCAATCTGCATGTTTGCACAGAAGACTGTCTAGAAATACTGATTACCTCTTGCAGAGGCCCTCTTAGCTATCTAAACGTTAGTACATTATTTCAAAGGTTTGTAAACTAAGATATAGAGAGAAGAAGTTCCTGCCAGTGCCGTACCGAAAACTAAATAGGGCAGAGCTCTATGTCTTCAGTAATACTATCTCTCTTAGACTCCTGTCACACAAACACTTAAGCATCTGCTCATCTTTGCAGGCTTGAATAACTCTTCTAATTTCAGTGCACTGCAGGGTATGTTCAAATTTAACAATATTCTCATTTGCAGACTCAGGACTTGCAGCGTGGCATTTAGTTGTCTATACATCAGGCTCTAGTGCCACTTAAGATGCTGTAGGGTATCCTGGCTTCCAGCTGCTGCTCCAGTGATGCAAGGTGATCCTAAGTCCTGTGTCAGCTACCAGCCCAGATGTCTTTGATGCCCTAAGGAATCTACAATGGCACCTGTATTAGCCCTGGCTTCCACCTCAGCTGTCATCACACTAGAACGAGCATTTCAGAACAACATGACCCGAAATGAGAGAGGGAGAGGATGGTTTTTATTAATTCCTAGGAGTGTGATCTGCAAGCAGAACCCCATCTAGCATACTTTTTACTTGTAAAATTGCACTCATATCTTCAGGGGAAGAAGGTAATCAAAATATAAGGCGCTACAAGCTACGACTAATAAACCAGATGGAACCAAAAAAGCCTCAGATATGTGCTTACCTGGAGCACAATGTCCCTTTCATTCCGCGTGATGTTAACAGTATGGGGCTGCCCGTTTGCCATGTTTCTGTGGTCAACATCAATGTTATATGGCTCTCTGGTGCCTCCTAGGCTGTACCGAATTTGTAAATTCCCTAGAGAAAGAAATGTGAAAAGCCTCCTTAGATATTTTGATCTTTATTTAGCAGATATTTTTCCCTCTTTAATTTCATATATGGCTGCTATCGTTTTACATTTAAATCACCCTCAGAGGTGGCCTCTGCAATAGGAGAATTGAGTGAAGAAGAGCTGGTGTCTGAGACGTTACACATTTTAGTACATTCAGAAGCACTGTATTTTTCAGATTATTATTCTTGCTACAGTAAAATTCTTTATAATTAAAAATGATACAAGGCATGAGGTTTTCTAAAGAATAAACTATTGATATGTATGCAATAAACTCAGAATTATGGCAAATTAACAGTGACATTACAATCTAGACGTGAGATTTTCTTGCTCTCACCTTTAATTGTTGTTGATGGGTGACCATCTGGATTTTTATGGAAATTTATTAATATATGGTGAAATGGAAATCTTGGGTTATATTGTTACAGAAGTTTAGTCAGAAGCGGTTAACCAATAGTCACGACAGCCTGCCAGGGAGACTGTTTTTTCTAAAGAAAACTGTTTCTCTGAAGTGTCTGCTTTTCACAGCAAATTTCAACATTGCATTAAAAGCACACTTTTTGAAATGGGAAATGCAGACCTTGTTATTGATCAAAACCTGAAATATTCTGACCCAAAAGAGCACTCTTAAACCTCCAGAGCTGTAGTTTGGACGTCTGACAGTGAATTTCTCTTATGCACCCCCTTTCTTCTGCATGAAGGCAGAAATCTGTGTGGCATAAGGAACACCCATATTAGACCATCCCATAGAACAGAATGTGAGTAAAAATCATCCAAATTATGATTTCATGAGGCACTAAAGCACTGTTAGAAATTAAGATAATATCGGGTTTTGATACTCCACCAGAAAGTGGGCCAAAAACAACCTTCAGCCATCCCCACAATTTTAGGACCTTATCTATAATGCTATGTCCATATTTTGACCACTTCATTACGTAGGCAGACTTTTAGAAGAGCTGAGCACGTAACACTTCCCACTGACTACCAGTGACATTGCCATGACTTCAGTAATTATGAACCATTTATTCAGATGCCTACGTGTGGACACTTACTTGTCCTCTCCATAGTACTAGTTCATTCTGTGGATCTGATTGTTATACCAGGGTTTCTGTTTGTTTTGTCACCGCACTGAACTGAACAGTGTACAAAACCTAGTTAAACAGAATAAAGGTTCAGACCTCATACATTTTGCTTTTACATTGCAAAGACGAAGAGATTTTCTCATTAGTTCAGAGCTTTGTTGAATGTTATTATCACTTATGCCTTCAACAGAGAAAGCCCAGAGCAGTAGCTTACCAGATGGTTTGACAAGCACTGCCATATAGTCCTGGGTATACGAGCTGATGTACAGTAGGACACAAGGGGACTTGGTGGTGCTGAAGCTGAAGCTGAGTTCTTCCTTATTCAAGTTGAGGTCTGGCACCGTGGTCTCAGGGTCTGTAGAACTCAACAGCGTCCGGCTAACTAAGTCCTTCATGCTGGTGCCTGGGGAGTGGAAGTTGTAACGAAGCCACATTCCCTCCTCAAAAAATGCCCCAACATCTTGAAAATAAGAGCACAAAAAGAGAAATTGAACTTGCTGACACTTTCTTGATAAAACATATTACTACTGGACTTGAGCAGTACTAATCTGTATGTATTTCTACTGCTACATAATTCAAGCATTTCGCTAATATTTAGGCCAGGAGCGTCACAGTTTTCCAGGGAGAATGAAAAGCAGTATCTCCATTTTATTGATGGGTATCAGGATTCACAGAGCAAAGAGAAGATTTCCTTTGGGTTACACAGAAATTTACACTTTTGTCTCGTATCAGTGCTGCAGACCAGAAGACCATGCTTCATTCTCATCAAGGTCTTGCAGCAGACTGCTCAAAAGAAGAAGGTACAAGAAAGAGAGATTTAAGAAGCTCTGCAAGCAAACACTGTTAAGGAAAAGGAAAATCAGAAACTCTAGCAAATTCTAGTGGACTTTGAATAATCTCACAAAGGAATGATGGAGATTCTAGCCCTTGAAAATTTCAATATAGGATTGGACGCTACACCAGAAAATTATCCATTGCTAGTGCAATACTTCAAGAGAATTGCATAAGCAGGGTGGCTTATGAGAGGTAAAACTAATTAGGGAGCTTGACTCATGGTAGAGAATAAGGCATGAGACATCTGAACTATAACTCCCAGGAGCTGCTAAAGAGCCAACATTTTTCAAACCCTTCTGAGACAAAATGTCATGTCTCAATACTGTTGACAGAAAATAAAACTACTTTTGGCAGAATTAGTACTTCCAGTTGAAAAAGCATCGTTATTACTTCTCATAATAATGCAGTCCTGCCTATTTCTTAACAATAAGAACCTAATACAAGACTGACATTCTTACAGTGAAAGCTGACTGTGACAGTCTCCTAAGGGAATCACAAAAACAGTTGCCTGCCATCGGTGGCCTACAGCCTTCTAAATATACTGGGGATCACTGGACTGGTTTCCTAAGACAGTCAGTATTTAGTGATACTGCAGTGCTGTATAGGCTTTGCTATCTGGGGCAACATCATTAAAGGAAATATTAAATTACATGGGAGCTTAAATAAGAAGGCATGTTTATGAACATTTCAAAATGGATTGAAGAACAATGAATAAATTTTTATGAACATAGCAAATGCATAAAGTATATAAAAATGGTTATATGTAATGCTCAAAGAGCTGACCACCATTTAAGAAAAAAACTTCTGTCATTTAGTACCTCCTTATAAGCGATATATAAATGCAAAGCCAACACAGATTAGTACCAAATTATCCAGCGAAACTTCTGAAAAGACATCCTGCTGTCTTTATTTGAATAGAAATTTCATTTCACCCACTTCTGCATTTGGAGTCTTCATGTCCCTTACACAATTCCTAGCAAAGGCTTATCACAAAGCATATGAAGCAAGACGTTGATTTTACGAGCTGTGCAGTGATACAAGGCAAGACAGGAAGGAGTCCTCAGACTTTATTCACAGTAGCCGAGCAGAGAAAAGATAAGAAGATAGGTAGTGTTACAATAGACTTTACTGAAGCTCCTTTTCAGAATTTTGCTAACTCTAGTGCTGGAAAAGCTGTATGGTTTCCTGTTACCACGTAAAAGTTCTCCAAAACTCAAAATATTATAGTCACTGTCACTGTGCAGCCACATAAAATAACTACTCAAGTTGTGGTTCCGAGGTGCTATAAATAATTTGATCATTTTGACAGATTTATCATTGTCATTTTATAGGAGAGATCTTAAATCACCTTGAAAGAGTTATGGGACAGGTAATTCAGTTTAACAGCTATATTTTCAGTAGACCCACTTAAGTACTTCTGGATTAAAAGTTAAGGGCCCTCTCCCGAAAATACTTCCCAAAAACCCTGATGCCTTCTGCTATTAAAAGTAGCGTTGAAGGTAAGTGGTAGCACTTAAAAAAAATGTAAGCAGTATACACTGCAGCTCTAAATATTTGCAAGATCGCAAAGATCTGGCTTTAAAATATCCCTATAACCATTAAGTTATTCTTCTTCAACCTCTGCTTATAGCTTTACTTTATTTTGAAAGAAAGACATACCCAAGCGAATCCTCCGGCAGATGCTGCAGGAGTCACGGTGCCGCTGCTCCGCCAGAGCCGTGCGGGGCAGCCTCGCTGCCTGATGCTGCAGGGAGCGCAGCCCCCGCCACGGCCCCCGTCATAGCCAGCGCTTACGACCAGAGCGCATCCACACTGAAGTACATTTGCATCCTTCCCGCCTGTTTACTCTGCTTGTCGTGCCCTGGGTTTTAGGGAGCGATCTGTGGGCTTGCCCGGGCGTTACGCTCGCCCAGGGTCTCACACGCTGGAGCTACTGGAAGCTTCAGCTCCTACCTAAGCGCTGCTGGGGGGCCGAATGGGAAAGCGTGGGACACATTTTCCACAGTTGTCAATGTTATTAATTGCTGCTTAAATGTTCACTACAGCAAAGAAAGCTGTAAGTAAACAGCGCTGTCTGAAGTAGTAAGATTTGGTTTTTTTCCTTAAAGATTTCATGACAGAGCAAAGACTGTTCGGTTAAGTTTAACTTGATTTACGCCAAGAAAGTAATTTCCAGCATAGCTGTACTATTACTAGTGTGCAAGCTATTGCAACTAGCCTTACAATCCTCCTCACATCTGCAACGCTTCTTTTAAGAGGAAGGGCACACTTCACTTTGGTTATGTGAATAAATGAGGCCCTCACCTGCAAGATATTGAATCCTCTCAAGTTCCAGCTCAGCAAAGTAGTTAAGCACATGCTTAACGCCCTTTGCTGAATGAAGCAGCCATCCCACTGCAGCAGAACTACACAGTGCTCAGCAGCTCACAGGAGCAGACTCTTGCAAATATTAGAAAATATTAGAAAAAGCTAAAAGATCATGTTCTCTATATTAACTCAGGTATAAAAATGTCTTTGAAATGCTGAGGGGTGATCACTGAAGAAATTATCCACTTGGAGGCCAAAAAATCCCATCTTTGTGAAACTGATAGATGGAATATCAAAAAGTCCTTCATTCAGCAAACCATTCAAGCTGCCTGAAAACATTTGGATAAAATGAAGCACAAGCCCTGCTGATGAAATGCGGAGCAGGTTTCCACATACCACCCTCTGCTTTCTTTTGGAGTATTTCAAAGAAGATATCTGAAAGTAAGACACTTGGGAGATCAGGCATAGTAAAGGGTTCCTCTGCAAACTGCCCTTTCAAGACAAAAGCCTTGCAGAAATGAATGTAGGGGTAGAAAATCAGTTTTCTTTGGAGAGCAGCACATATTTCTCAAGCAATATGCAGTGCAGTCATGCTCTGTTGACAGACTCTGCCAATGCATCAAGGTTCGACTAGCTTTGTAGACAATCCAGGACAGGATTTGTGGAGCATTAGAAACAATTTTATCAAGCAAGATGTGTATCCCCAGTGTGAACTGTACATATTTTACAAATCTATCTGGTTTCGATTTGAAGAGGGATGAAGCAAAAGCAGATCCAAAACTGCCACGCGAAACACAAACGCACCTAGAACTGACAAACTTATTTTGAGGGTCAGATTTCCTCGGTCAGCTCCCCAGTCTCCCTCTCCCGCTTTGCTATTTTTATTTTTATACACTCTCATTCTGTCTGGGACTAGGAAAAACCAAATAGCAACAAAACCCCATTTCTTGCAAAAATTCCACCTGAGGCAGGGTATAAGAAATTGAACAACACCATGACATTTCTGGAGGAGTGTTGTAGACCTAAGAAAATATAAGCAGGGACCTGAATCTCCTTTGCTGCTGTTTGACATAAGTGAAATGTCAGTGTCTTTTCCTCTCGAGTAGTTATAATGACTCTGCTAGCCATATACTCAGTAGCACGCATAAGTTATTTCTCCATTACTTTTTTCTCACCTGTGAAAAACATTGCCAGGAGTGAAAAGGAAGAGGTCTGGCTGAACATGGCTTCGTAAAAATTTTCTGTCTGGAGACATACATAAAAGACACAGAACTCAGTGCTCTCTACTAGAATTGAATTGGCTCTGTGCTGTTAATAGGGAGAGGAAAAATTGGGCATGCCTATTGTCATGAATCAAGTACAAGATATTACTCCTGATAAATAAAGAAGCAGCAGGTCTGTGGAGTTACAAAAAGAAGCCGTTTCAACGTAGGAACTTTTCAAGAGTGGCACTTTAAAAGATGGAATCTATCTTCTGCGCTAGGATAGTTATCACTGTCTGACAACTGTCATCTCACATTTTTCCAAGGAAATTCAAGACTTGGCTTGTGTCATCTTTCATCTGGGGAAGAAGGAAAAAGTAATGCTGGTTACTTCTGCGGTATTACTGTATTTGACTTTTTTGAGGCTAGGCCTTCAAAGCAATTTCATTAATGGTAGATAACATTGTGCTGGAGTAAAATCCCTGCCTCACAGAAGTTGGTCATAAAATGCCAAAGACTATGAAGCCTGGCCAGGGCACATATGAAAACTGCAGCTGAGAAAGAGCCTCTCTTCATTTCACAAATCTGACTGAAATGTCTGCTTAGAGCTGTAAGCATGTCCCATCTGGAGTCGCTAACCTTAGTCACAGTTAGATATAGCAAATTAGAAAGACTCCTCTTTGATCCTGCCTGCCAGTGCTCAGTGCTCTTTTTGGCCTGCACAGGGTTCGGAACATGAACAGCAGCATTCTCCATATCCTAACCAAGGACATTCACTGGAGGCATTCATACACTTGGTGCACGCACAGAGATTGCTAGGGCAATGTAGACAGCCCAGCAAAACCTCTGCCCCCATTCATCGTTTTTCTTTTCTTTTTCGATTTCTTATACAGCCATAAATATTGAATATAGACTGTCTAGAGTTGGCTTGTGGCTAAAAAAGGTGCTAGAGAGCACCGGAAATTGCAGCTACTTCCAGGCTGTGGTCACAAAGATTAAGGCTATTTGCTGAGATGCATCCTGGCCATAGGGCATCAGTAAAGGGTCAGAATCCCACAACCGCTGATCTGGGAGAGAACTTACTTTAAAGTGAGTGGGCTGATGACGGTAAGGCCTA